TAGGGGCCGCGTGTCTGTACCAAGTCAAATACTATCAATTTTTTTGCTTCCAAAAAATCGCTGGAAAAGAAAATTATCAACGACCTTGCCAGCAAATCACCACGGACAAGGCGATAACACAGGTTTCCATCCCAGTATCGTCACTTTTCAAGGAAAGTAATACATTGGAAAACAAACAGAAGTGAAAAAAAGCTAATTTTGAAAAAAAAAAACCCTTTAACGAGAAAGGAAAATTTCTTGAAGCCAACAAAAAAGTGGGTCTGACCTGTAAGCCAAAACTGCTTTCAATCAAACTATCGGCGTTATCTTCCAGTAGCTTTCCATCGGCTCCATACACAAATGTCACTGTATCCTTCGCATTCCCTTTAGAACCCACATAATCTGCATACTGAAACGAATATATTAACGAACGGCGTGAAACAGACATAACATTTTTTGCAAATTAGTTACATGACTGTTCAGTACATGGCCGGTAGAAGGCTGTACTAATGATTCCCGCTCCTACCTGCATGCAAAGTTCGGTCAGTGTTTACAGCTAAGGGATGAAACACAGACACACGTTCCCTTCGTAGGCACGGCACAGACAAAAATAAACCCCAAGAGGCACAGCGATTAACGTCTTTTTTTTTTGAGATCTTCGGTATTAGAATTTCTGAAAATCTTCCATTTTTCCTCTATCGGCAGGGAAGATGTACGTGATCTTCGGCCTCAACACAAAAATTAAGCAAAGATGATAACCTGACGAATGATCTCGATAACATTAACTCGAGCTGGTACTCGTGTCAAATGCATCTGGCGATTAATCATGTCCTGATCATCAATAAGAATTTCCTTGAGAAGTGCAGGAATCTGAAAAACAAGCGTTTTTTTTCCGAAATTTTTCTTTTTTTGGGAGAAAAGTCGAACCTCATTGCAAGAGCTAAGACTATGTACGACAGGGTGGGTAAAATCACGAATTATTGTTAAAAAAAACATTCAGTTGATTCAAAGAAGGGGTATAACAGGACCAAGGAGTCTTCCATCTATCGCGGCTCTAAGCATTAATAAGGTACGCCAGTGGCATGCCCTCTCTGTGTGTGTGCATACGTGTGTGTGTGTGTGTGTGTGTATGTATGTGTGTATGTGTGTGTGTGGAAACACCTAGTTATACATACACCTGGTTATGTATACATTTACATATATACAAATATATAAGAATTGACTAAAGCAATACAACGTAAAACAAGAAAAGACAATAAAAAGTGAGGAGGTTCCTGGGAGCAGCTTTCTCGAGTAGCTGGAAATGGCTCTAGGATCGTGGGGATAGGGAGGAGTGCTTTTATACCCCAGGAGTCGATGATTACTATGACTGCGTAAACTTCAACAAAGTAGGGTGTCCAAAATTTGAGCCAAGGGCCAGGGTATTGCATCCTAGTGACGCAATTGTTCTTTATGCCATTTCTAACAAGAAAACCAAAAATCATTATTTGATATATTATGTGACACGTCTAGCAGATTCGAAACATCGATTCTTCAATTGGGAGGGGAGGTTTACCTAACAAATTTACAAATAATTTGCTATAATTTTTCAAGTGAGGAAGTCTCAAAACTGTCAAAGAAACGAAAACAAACTCACTTCAACATGGATATCTTTCTTTCTTTGCATATCCGGCTCCGATTCAGTCGTCTCTTCAGTTTTCACTTTGCTTTTTTTCGAAGGTCCTAAAGCAAACTCAGTAGTGCATTTCCAAAAAATACTACCAAAACTCCTGTTGGATGCGGGCCAAGCTAAAAAAATGCCCCTAAAAAAGATGCTAAGGCTAAAAAAACTTCAAAAAAAAAAGCTAAAAATTAGCTTATTCTTAAATTCTCCCATCAAAATTATTGCTGAGAATTTACAATCTTATGTTACAAAACAACTAGCAATGAAATGTGGTGTTGGTGGTTTCCTCATTGTGTTGTAACTAGCGGTTAGCACTGCAATAGGCACTTCACATATCAAGTCCACTGGGCGAACTCTGAAAATCCAGTACGCTTAGAAAATTTTGACGCAGGTTTTCTAATATCTGTTAAGTACCTAAAGGCGCAACCCTCGCCTCCTCACCTCCCAATCGCAATTATAAAACAAAAAAAAAAAAAAACAAAACAAAAAGTTGAGTCATTTTTCGATGACATTCCAGCTGAATGCCGGGAAGATGAAGGCCGAATCTCCTACAGGATCCGACTCCCCGTTCCCAGTTCACCTTTTTCCCCGCTAATTTTCTCACTGTAGATTGAATCTGTGACGGTAAAATTCATCTCTGGTTCCCAAGGGATCCATTCTGGATTCCTGGATGGAGGCCGTTTCAGAGATTGTAATGTGTGACATCTTTTATAGAAACGTCAATATATAAGAGGGGCGATCCGATGATTCGAGGTCTGTGTGTACTGTTCGTCCACCTCTACCGTCTGAGTGCCTTCCATCAACCGTTCTATTCAAACTAGTACTGGTGATTTGTTGATAGCCTATTTTGTCCAGTGTCCGTGTTTCATACAATAAAAGTATCTTTTGTTTCTAGTTCGGTCCAGTACCCCAACTGGTTTCTTCGATCCATCGACATGTTTATACACGGTCCCGGAATGAACCCTCTTTTAAATTCACGGGTAAGATGAAGAGGGCATTTTCCAGAAAATAAAAATTAAGAGAAAAAAATGCATGAAATGGATTACCAGGGCACGAATAAGCATTTGCGAAAAGAACCGCCAGAGAATAGCAACTACAGTACTTAACTAGGCCAGACCTGGACGTTCCCTTCCCCTCAGTCATCCTGCGAGTTAAGTAAATCGATACAGTAATGATAAGTAACGGCCATTAGAAGGAGCCGATTTTAGTGGTAATGATAAGTGTCGGACATTAAAATAAACCGGTTTTAGTGATAATGATAAGTAATGATAATGATAAGTAACGGCCATTAGAAGGAGCCGACCTTAATAAAAATGATAAGTAACGGCCATTAGAAGGAACTGATCTCAGTGATAATGAAAAGTAACGGCCATTAGAAAGAGCCGATCCCAGGTGATAATGATAAGTAGCGGCCATTGGAAGGAGCCGATTTTAGTGACAATGATAAGTAATGATAATGATAAGTAACGGCCATTAGAAGGAGACGATGCCAGCAATTAATGAGACAGTGATAATGACGGCGACAGAAAACAGAAATTAGCAGCGCACAAAAACAACTACAACAACAATTTGGGATAGGCACCTTTCTCATATGAAGTGCCAGACGCAGTGCTAACCGCAATGTTTGCGCCACGAGCAAGCGATGAGGAACGCTTATCCGATGGCGTACTTCCACGACTTTCTGCACCACTGCTGCGTTTCTCATCCAAAACTGATTTTCGCTTCTTCTTTGATGATAGCCGAGCCTGCGCATCACGTATTTCTGCCTGAAACAACAAAAAAATCCAATATTTCCCATGTATTTCTGGCATTTTTCAGGGAAAAAATTAGGTGTTACTTTGTCATTGATCTCTTTTCCCATGTAATTTTTGAACTACAGCTTCAATGGCCGTACAGAAACATTCCAGTTTATTGTTTAGAGGATAAAAAAAGGTAAAAAATTAAAAGGGGATGAAAAATCATGGCTTAAAATTTACGGGGTGAGGGACGCTTTTCAAAGATGTATAAGAAGCACTTTTTTCCTGTTTTTGAAATAGAAGAAGGATTTAGCTTGAATATCGTGTGTATGAAGACATTTTATGATGCACTCTGTGTTTCATCTCTAAGCTGTAAACACAGACCGAACTATGCATGTGGGTAGGAGCGGGAATCATCAGTACAGCCTCCAACCAGCCATGTTTTGAATAGTCATGTAACTAATTTGCAAGACGGATAAGCGAAAGAAAGAAATCTGATCAGGTCAAAGACCGGTTCCCTTCCATTCAAACAGTACAGTTTAATGCAGAATTTCGCGGACAACCAAAAAATGACCACATATAACCAAGAAAAAGACAACCAAAATATCCCTCCAAAAAATATATTTTTATAAAAAAGTCAACTAAAACGTAATAATACTATGTTGCTGTTACACCTAACTAAAACCGATTTGTTGATTCCAAAAACAGGCATCTGCTACTCTAAAACCGTTCCGAACAGAGAATAAGCACATTCCACGCCAGTGATTTTGACCCTGAGCTGCATATCTCTATTAGTTTTCACCGGGTCCTGCTGATTGAACGAAAACTCCCAGTGTGCTTATACAACGACGATAAGACGGGACAAAAGCATCTTCTACACCGATACTTCTTCCAAAATGCTTTTTTGTTATCACCAATGACCACGTTTCCCATCCGTACGTCACTGTATTCGATATGCAGACAATGCGTAGAATTGAGTGCAGTCTTTCCGGTTTGACACTTTGAGGACATCAACAAAATTTGCTCCAACGGTTTTCCGTCAAAAATCGCGTGCATATATATACTTTAACGCGGTACCCGTCAATTGTAAGCAAGGCGAGCAACATGTTCTATCCAAATGACTTCCCCTTCTTTTGTGTGGTCCTACTGATTGAGCGAAAAGCCTCATTGTGCTTATATACGACGACGCAAAACGCTTTTTTTGTTATCACCAATGACTAAGTTTCCCATCCGTACGTCACTTTATTCGATACGCTGACAATGCTTAGAAATGAGTGTAGTTTTTCCGATTTGATACTTTGAGGACATCGACAAAATTTGCTCCAACGGTCTTCCGTTGAAGATTGCGTATATAAATACTTTCTGGGCAAGGTAATAATCGTTTTCTCTGCGCACCTGGACAAGCAATGGCTTCGTGCTCGGCCATATTTCGACACTTGCTGGTAGTTCGTTTCTACGTTGAAATGCCTGGTTACCGGAAATCTACACGAATCAGAACAGCTAAGCAGATTACAGCCTCCAGGTTAACCCTTGAAATGCAGATGGCAGAGTGTGAAGGAGTAGGAGAAAGTAGTAGTGTAGATTGAGGAAGGTGAGAGCGAGATAAGACGTTTCAATCCATTAGCAGCTAAAATCATCCATGCCCCATCGATAAGCTAAATTTATCAATTTTTGGTTGTTTCTACATCATCTACTTTAATATTTTT